GTCTGCTATTTTAATAGGCCTACCACTGTATGTCCATTGCTCATTAGGGAAAACACCTTTGTTTTTTCTGAATTTACATTTAAATTCAAGCGTTCAGCATAGGAATGCAAGTGGTCAAGCATATTTTGCAGATTGACTACGTCCTCGGAAAACAAAACCGTGTCGTCCGCATATAGTATAATAAAAATATTGATCAACTGTAGCCAGGGACAGTATATACTATACGTCCCTGCTGTAACTGATAACTCTGACAATTTGAGTTAATAAGTTCTGACTCCATGTCATTAATAAATAATGAAAATAAAATCGGGGATCAGATGCGGACAGGCTGTCGCAGCGGCTGTGGTCCACGGAACGACGTCCTTTGCGTAACTTAATCCCCGCTGCCCTCTTATATATGGGGTCTAAGCTGTGGATTACAAGGATTAATACATGTACAGTACCTGTTAGAAATTATCAGGTCCCTGTGACTAACTATCACGGAATTAAATTATCTAAGTCCGTGCTACTACCATATGGCATTGTCTGTACGTCTTTACATGTATATGATAATACGTGTTTTTAGTGTGAAGATTTCTTAGGATTTTTGTGAACATTGTTTTGTATTATAAACAATATTTGAAGAAAAAAATAATTGAAAAAAAAATGTCCCCGCTGTGCTTCGAACCATGCTAGTTGGAAACCGAAACCGAAAGCACTCGTACGTGTATTCTGCGAAATGAAGAGTTCCATACTGTAGAGTTGCAGATTTCTGGCTCGGGGCTATGGCCGTCCCCGATCATGTTTCGACTTTCGTGAAAGCTGGAATGAACGAAGTGTGGAAATCCTGTTATAATGCGAGGCGTATTGAGTATAAGTCATTCAAATATGACATTTTCAGTCGAAATGGTATCCATGTTATCTTCAAATTTGTGATGTCATTGATTGTAACCATTACATTTGCAAGCATCACGGCGACTATTCTTTACGTTTTTGATTCTGATTCTGTCTTCACAATACAAGGTAAGATCATATTACATATGACATTAAACTAGACAATGTTGCTACTAATCGTCATTTACTATTTGCTAAGTAAATACAATTGAGAGGATTAAAACATTTTTAAAACATAAACATTAATGATAAAAGGAGACAATATAGTTTAGACTTAAGTGTCATTGACAGATCTAGTCCGTGTGTTTTCTCAAGATAGTCCCAAATAAGGCCCAGAGTGTACGTAAAGAGAGGTGGTAGTCGCGGGAAAAGGGGATATAGGGGTGATCGATATTTGTTTACTCAGGGATGGGTCCAGACTAGCCCGAGTATCCTCTGGCCCAGACAAAAGTCATCTGTATACAGTAGCTATCAGTCAAAATGTCTAAGTCTGGGGTCGGGGCCAAAGCTAACTCGGGCTAGATCAATCCAGACGGCTTGCCACATGGGTGTCTGCCAAGTCTTCAAAACCAATGCTTTATTGTCTGAAAGTCCAGTATTCCAAACACCGACCCATGTATTCTTAACATCAGTATAGCATTGTTATATTTTATCTCCTTTTTAAAACATAAATGTAACAGCAGTCTTGCTATAGAGATTGAAATGCTTTTCATCATGTTTGTTGAGTAAAAGATGAGCGAATCAAGTGTTGCTATTTTTCATTTAAGGCATTTTAATATGGTCTGTAATTGTGAATCACGATGTACCTTACCATATAGACTTTCACAAACAGGGTACATATGTTACTTCATTGATATGGAATGACTCTCATTGGTTGAAGAGATTGCTTGCATGTGAAAAAGTGTTAGTGTACCCCATTAACCAAAGGAAGTTAAAAGTACACTAGAATCGGAGTGTCACTCCGTTCACCTGTAGACAAAATCCTTGTCCAAAAAACTTATACAATTTTCATTCAGTTTTGTGAAACTTAACTGATGTAGTCATGACACTCTGAGGTTGTGCCTTACCACTTACATTTTTGATCCTGGTGTTTTTATGGGTTATGCCCCTTTAACAGAATTATAATTCAAATCTTGTCATGATAATTCTTCCTATTACATTTTATTTTCGTCCTTATTTGAGAAACTGAATAAGCATAATCTAGGCACATACAAAATGTTTTTGCTTGTTATTTTTGACACAGCTATTGGTATGAGAAATATGACCCTTCATTGATTTCCTTTTGTTTGAAGTGCTGTCAGTACTGCTACTTTCTTGACCAATATTTATGAAACTGTGTATCCATGACTGGTATCCTCCATAGTTGTGCCATTGTGATTTATTTCAAATATTTTATTGATTCTATGCCCCTAAAATTATTTTTCATGTGAGAGGGAATAGGGGCTATTGTTAATCAGCTTTAACTTAAATACAGTTATATTCTTTTCAAGAACAGCATTGCTACAATAACCTTCATTGATTAGTTGAGATTTTTAAATGATTTCTGTATTAAATGTATTTTTTTACCCCTTTGACCTCTTGTTCAGATTTCCAATAGTCACAATAAGTACTTCCCTACTGTAGAGTTATCCTGTAATAGATGGATTAGGTGACATTCACCACTTACAGGAAGTCTATATCCACAGGTCCTGCAGTGCCAGGTATGGTTGATTGGATAAAGAGCACGGTCAAATCTACATCACTAAACTTGCACTGGAAAGCATCTGAGGGTATGGTGGACGCATACATTGTTGAGATAGCTGATGGTTCTTCTTTTCGAGAAGAATATAGGACAGATGGTCCATCTGTGCTGATAGAGAACCTGGAGATCAACACTTTGTACAAAGTGGATATCTACGCCGTTAGTGGCAACATGATGAGTGAACGTCGAACTGAAGAGATGAAGACCAAAGATATACAAGGTATGTTGATACACACGTTTTACTTTATATACATTCTAGATTAATCTAAAAAAAAATCAATATATCTGTATACCATAAACAATAGTGTTGTTATTTATCCCTTTGTTACATTGCTGTTGTATATATGTTTGTCCCTCTGTTTATGTGTCTCTTCGTTGCATTAACATTGTTCCATGAACCATGTGCACTGTTGTAGATATGTTTGTCACTCTGTTTATGTGTCCCTTTGTTACCCTGACATTTTAACATGAACCACTGTTGTAGATATGTTTGTCACTCTGTTTATTTGTCCCTTTGTTACCCTGACATTTTAACATGAACCACTGTTATATATATGTTTGTCCCTCTGATGAACCACTGTTGTAGATATGTTTGTCCCTCTGTTGATGTGTCCCTTAGTTACCTTGATATCGTAACATGAACCACTGTTGTAGATATGTTTGTCACTCTGGTTATTTGTCCCTTTGTTACCCTGACATTTTAACATGAACCGCTGTTGTAGATATGTTTGTCACTCTGGTTATGTGTCCCTTTGTTACCCTGACATTTTAACATGAACCACCGTTGTAGATATGTTTGTCACTCTGGTTATTTGTCCCTTTGTTACCCTGACATTTTAACATGAACCACCGTTGTAGATATGTTTGTCACTCTGTTTATGTAACATGAACCACTGTTGTATATATGTTTGTCCCTCTGTTTATGTGGCCCTTAGTTACCTTGACATATGTTTCTCCCTCTGTTTATGTGTCCCTTAGTTACCTTGATATTGTAACATG